CCCCCCCCCCCCCCCCCCCCCCCCCCCTCAAGAACGGTCTAATATGAGCACAAACCGTATCTCAAATGTCATTCTTAGCAAAATACTAATCTGTGGTAAGTTTGCTCACACAGTTCGATACGTTGTGAATCGTTTCCATTCATGGAACTGTTATTCGAGCACCTTTTCAGTTACCAAAACTCAAAATTGGAACGGACAAAATAAGTTAAACACAAGATTTTAATCGTTACCGTGGCAACAACGAAGGCAAGCCTAAAATTTTGAATTTATTAGGCTGACGCAAAATCTAGATTTTTAGATTTGCTTATACGTTTGCACAAAGCTTACAATTAGTTGCTCTCATTTAAAAAAACTGAACTGAACTGTAACAAACAGTTTTTGAAATTTTTTAGAAATAACTTTCACGAGAATTTGATTGTGTGACAAAACTCCCTTGTTCAACATTTATTTTGACGCTTTCAGTGGATGAAGTGCAATATGAACAGGATTTCAGTCTGCCATATTTCGTAAAATTTTTGACTGTCGTCTGCTTATATTGCCTATGGAAGCAACACGTATTACTGAAGGATAGGCAACCCTCATTGATTATATATTTGCAAATACTTATGCTATGAATGCCATGGGTGGTAACCTAGTCTCACAAATCCCTGATGATCTTCCTCAATTCTGGATTGTCAATCACAGAATGATAATCTGTTTTTTTAAATCGGTTCATACCACTCAATACGGCATTCGTCTCTCCGTTACACTGGTACATTACCTACCAACCCTTGGAATTCTTTATCTTTTGATGTTAAGAGAATCTAGCCGTTTTCTTGTTTTCGTGAAAATATCAAGAATTCTATGATTGATGGTTATAATAGTGTTATCAATCCCTGAGATTTAACCACTTTAACTACTATTTAATTCAAGAAGTAATACTTTTTATCTAAAACAGCTATTTTGTCACCATATTCCTTCAACTCGTATTCTTGTTTTGGGTCATCTATTACGAACTACTTAGGTGTCCCAAACTCTGCGCAACGAACCTAGAATTGAAATATGTGTTTTCCCTCTTCGCAATCTTTTATTTTTATATTTAAGGGCTGTATTTATATTCTGTATGAGTTTAAATAAAAATTGACTTGACTTGCAACGAAACACGCGCTCTCTAAGTACGCATACTCAACACTTGTGCTAGCGCTGTCACGCCATATGTCAAAGGCGACGAAAATATTAATAAATTGCCACTAAAAGCTACTGGGCATTTTCAAAACCGCTTGCTGTGTTGAACAACACAAAGAAAAACGGGTTTCTTGTGACGTCATCCACGTGTCTGTACTCTAAAGATCATTGGCAACGACCAATCACAGCACGCGTAATATTCACCACATTGTATGAAAGGGGATGAAGCATTTTCGGAGACTACTGTTCGGCTACCTTAAATCTGCACCTTTGTCTTTGCCGCAGCTTTCTAATACATTTAATCTATTTACGTCGCCGTGAAGTACAACATTACAACTAATTCGTCATTTTACTATAGTATAGTCCACGTTTTGTGGCCTCGTATGCTAAAGGAATGTAATATTTCTTATCAACTGGGCAACAAGCTTAACAGTTTCACAGATTAATTTAGCCTAATGTGGCCAAAAACGCCGCCATAAATCCTAGGAAAATGGAACTAAAAACAGCACTGAATTCTGGGACGCCAGCGGATGGAGGCTCATTGTCCTCAGGGGTGGGGGTTGTCGTGTTGCTTGACAACGAAACATTTGTTGACACGTTGCTGGATGCCGCTAAAAAACTGTTCCGTCTTAAAGGATTGCGGATTTCTCCAGAGCTTGTATTGTTACAACTATAGCGGTATCGTCGAAAACTGTTTTATTAAATGCTGTACTGGAAATCTCTGCAACGACAACACTGTGAAGCAAGTGGAAAGTCCCGTAACTCGCTTGAATTTCATAACAACAATAACGTATCCGAGTTTGACACGTGCTACGAGGAGTCAAGAAACCATAGCGACGCCTGGACTACCTGGGCAGCAGCTAACGTCATCGTCAATGTCCCGGATTTACAGTGCATCCGCTGAGACTGGCATGAGTACATGCTGGACTTCTGCAAGTACCCTAACGTATATGTTCAGCAGAGACCTTGTGCAACCTCCTTTAAGAAAAACTACTGCTCCATGTGGCGGTGCAGATAGATTGTCACATATTTACTCGTCCTTACCTACTGTAATTTTGTTTGGCATTTTAAGCGTAGGTGCCATCATCGAGGGATTGTAACTCATATCAAAATGATGAAAACTAAACTGATGCTTGTAAATAAAACTTTGATCACAGATAATGCAGAATAACACTTGAGGCCTTACGTGCAAGGGCGATACTTTTTTTTATTTCCTCTGTTACATGTACATGATCACGTAAAATGATCATTCAAAAATTAATTTTCTCATATCAAAACAATTTTTCGCTGCAGTAGACGCTGTTTGAAGCTAGTGGAGCTGTATTTATCATGAATTCAAATATACAGTTGAGGAAAATTAGCTTAAGCGCGTATTTCAAAGCTATTTCGCATTAGTAAAATCCAACTAGTGGTCTATTGTCAATGCTGCCTTCTGATTGGTTGAGCTACTACTAGGCTATATGTTATAACCCACTAGTAGCGAGAAGGCGCTGGCTTTTTGGCGGCAAAAAAAGGATTAAAGTCCAGCTTTAACAAGCTAAAAGTTTTTTATTGTCGATATTTTTGACCAACCAGTTGGATTTTACTAAAACAATTATTCCTCTCGCCCTCATGGCCTCTCAGTCAATAGCCCATGAGGCCGAAAGCCTAATGGGCTATTGACTCAGAGCCCATTCGGGCTCAGGGAATAATTGTTAATTATTTCCTTCGGGTTCAACGTACCGACTCGATGTAGATAATAGATCGAACTAGCTTTATTGAATTTGGTGGAGAATTATGAGATGAACAGAGACCCGCACTCGAAAGGATTGATAAGAAGTTAGGCCAGTTTATAGATGAAATACAAACGTGTGTGATCTGTGAATAGAACCTCCTATTCTGGATACTAGACTTTGCCTGTTTTAGAGAAAAAAAGATTCAAGTTTTGATGACCTTTCCAGTCCCGTGAAATAGACGGCGATCCCGAATCACGGCTCGCAAAACAAATTAACAAAATTATACAATTACGGACACAAAATATCAAAACGGTTTACACAAGCAGATTATAGCAACAGCAAAGCTCGAACACATTAAGAGT